GTCAGGTCCTCCTGCCTTTCACTGCCTCCTGGAATTGGATCAAATTCATGTTGGTAGTTTCGATGACACTATCCAACCATCTCGTCCTCTGTTGTCCTCTTTTCCTCTTGCACTCAGTTTCCCAACATCACTTTCTGCCATCAGAGTGGTATGTGTATATTGGAGGTTGTTGATATTTCTTCCATCAGTCTTAATTCCGGCTTGGGATTCATCCAGTCCTGCCTTCTGCATGATGTATTCTGCATATAAATTAAATAAGCTGGGGGACAATATACAGCCTTGTCGTACTCATTTCCCATTTTGAACCAATCAGTTGTTCCATATCCAGTTCTAACTGTTGCTTCCTCTTCCACATATAGATTTCTCAGGAGATAGATAAGCTGGTCAGGCAGTCCCATTTCTTTAAGGACTTGCCATAGTTTGCTATCATCCACACAGTCAAAGGCTTTTGCGTAGTCAATGAAGCAGAAGTACAGTAGTACCTCGACTTACGAACGTCTCTACTTACAAACATTTTTACTTACGAACAGCTCCAGTCACAACTTTTTGCTTCGACTTGCGAATGGAGCTTCCACTTACGAACAGAAACAGGCAGGGAAAAAAGGTAGGCAACTCAACTTTCTAACTGTAGGTGGTGACAAGTCTGCTTCTTTGTGCTGTAGCTCTTTCAGCAGTTATAGGGTGTGTCACAGTTGGAGGCTTGGGAGAGCCTCCTACTTCAGACTGAGCCTGTGTGTGTGTCTGCAGGGGGGTAAGCTGCTGTTTTCTCCTTTAAAAAACTGTTTTGAATGGGTTTTGGTGGCTCTGCTTCGGAGTGAGTGTGTGTGTGTGTGTCTGCAGGGAGGTAAGCTGCTGTTTTCTCCTTTAAAAAAACCTGTTCTGGATGGGTTTTGGTGGCTCTGCTTCGGAGTGAGTGTGTGTGTGTGTGTCTGCAGGGAGGTAAGCTGCTGTTTTCTCCTTTAAAAAAACCTGTTCTGGATGGGTTTTGGTGGCTCTGCTTCGGAGTGAGTGTGTGTGTGTGTGTCTGCAGGGAGGGTTTGTTTCTGTGCTCTGCTTTGGAGCATGTGTGTGTGTGTGTGTGTGTGTGTGTATTTTTGGAGTTTTTTTCTTTCTTAAACCTCAGCAATGGAGGTGGCTCTGGTGTCTGTTTTTTGAGGTTTTTTCTTAAAACCTCAGCAATGGAGCACCTTCCAAATGGGCTTGCTGTGCTCTTCTTATTTTATTTATTTTATTTTGGTTATTTTTTTTTCCTCTGAGCAGCAGGGGGGAAGCTGGGGCTGCTGACTGCAGTGACGGAAGCTCCGAAGGAGCAGGAGGAGGCAGGCAGCCGGGCAGGCAGGCGAGCGCTTCCTGGCCAGGTCTCTGGCTCCAGCCCCGTTCACTTCAGCCAGGCTTTGAGCCTCCCCTTCTCTCTTGGGTTTTGTTTTGTATTTTGCAACCCCAGCACGTTCCTATGAGGCTGGGGTTGCAAAAAACTTGCTGGCATATTGAGTGTAGCACCTTAACTGCGTCATCTTTTAAGATTTTAAATAGTTCAACTGGAATGCCATCACCTCTACTGGCCTTCTTGTTAGCCATGCTTTCGAGGGCCCACTTGACTTTGCTCTCCAGGATGTCTGACTCAAGGTCAGCAGTCACACTATCTCGGTTGTCTGGGACATCTAGATAATTCTTCTGTGTATTCATGCCACCTCTTATTAATGCCTTCTGCTTCTGAAAAGTCCCTACCATTTTTGTCCTTTATCATGTCCATCTTTGCACAAAATGTTCTTGTAATAGCTATAGTTTTCTTGAACAGATCTCTGGTTTTTCCCTTTCTATTATTTTCCTCTATATTTTTGTACTCTTCATTTTAAGAAGGCCCTCTCGTCTCTCCTTGCTATTCTTTGGAAGTCTGCATTCAATTTTCTGTTACTTTCCCTATCTCCCTTGCATTTTGTTTCCCTTCTCTTCTCTGCTATTTCTAAGGCCTCATTGGACAGCCACTTTGCTTTCTTTCATTTCCTTTTCTTTGGGATGGTTTTTGTTGCTGCCTCCTGTACAATGTTATGAGCCTCTATCCAAAGTTCTTCAGGCACTCTGTCCACCAAATCCAGTTCCTTAAATCTGTTCTTCACTTCCACTGGGTGTTCATAAGGGATTTGGTTTAGATTATACCTCACTAGCCTAGTGGTTTTCTTTACTCTCTTCAGTTTAAGCTTGAATTTTGCTATGAGAAGCTGATGATGAGAGCCACAATCAGCTCCAGGTCTTGTTTTTGCTGACTATATAGAGCTTTCCCATCTTTGGCTGCAGAGAACATAATAAATCTGATTTCGGTATTGCCCATCTGGTGATGTCCATGCGTAGAGTCGCCTCTTGTGTTGTTGGAAAAGAGTGTTTGTGATGACCAGCTTGTTCTCTTGACAAAACTCTATTAGCCTTTGCCCTGCTTCATTTTGAACTCCAAGGCCAAACCTACCTGTTCCTTTTATCTCTTGACTCCCTACTTTAGCTTTCCAGTCCCCTATAATGACAAAAACATCTTTCTTTGGTGTCAATTCTAGAAGGTGTTGTAAGTCTTCATAGAATTGGTCAATTTCAGTCTCCTCAGCATTGGTGGTTGGTGCATAAACTTGGATTACTGTGATGTTGAAAGGTCTGCCTTGGATTCGTACTGAAATCATTCTATCATTTTTGAGATTATATCCCATTATAGCTTTTCCCACTCTTTTATTGACTATGAGGGCTACTCCATTTCTTCTACGGGATTCTTGCCCACAATAGTAGATATGGTAATTGCCTGAATTGAATTCGCCCATTCCCATCCATTTTATGGATAACTGTCAATGGATGTCAATGTTCATTCTTGCCATTTTCTGTTTGACCACATCCAGCTTCCCAAGGTTCACATATTTTACATTCCAGGTTCCTATGCAGTATTTTACTTTGCAGCATCGGACTTTCCTTTCACATCCAGGTGCGTCCGCAACCGAGTGTCCTTTCAGTTTGGCCCAACCACTTCATTAGCTCTGGAGCTAGTCGTACTTGTCCTCCGCTCTTCCTCAGTAGCATGTTGGACGCCTTCTGACCTGAGCATCATATCATTTAGCCTTTTGTTTCTGTTCATGGGGTTTTCTTGGCAAGGATGCTGAAGTGGCTTGCCAGGTGGATCGTGTTTAGTCCGAACGCTCCACTATGACCTGTCCGTCTTGGGTGTCCCTGCATGGCATAGCCCATAGTTTCTCTGAATTACTCAAGCCCCTGTGCCACGACAATGCAGCAATCCGTGAAGGAGATTTTACAGGTCCTTTTACTCTATATTTAATATTTAACTATCTGGTGTGACTATCAAAAAGATTACTAAACTAACGGATTCAAAAGAAGTTTGATTACTTGAAACATACTTTGTTAATGCTAAGGGTTTTTAGGTGTTGACCATATGCACTTTCCACCAACTATCAGGTGGCAGCTACCATCAGATACAGAAAGTCTAATGAGCACAACTGCCATTTCAACTGCTCCAGACAGCAGCTACTTCCCAGAATGTTAATTAGATACAAGGGAATGAAATTCAAGAATGTTAATGAGAGTAAATGTTTACAGTTATCCATGAACAGAAACATGTTCATCAAATGTTTACACATTTTGATACATGTGTAACTGACTCATGAATGTCACTATAAATATATTGGTTTTAGTTTTCCCAAGACTCTATTATTTGTGTTACCAATGGTATTTAAGGTGCACATATGATACTGATTTCATTTTCTGTATTGCTTCATGAAAATTGTAAGAAAGGAACTGAACCTGAATCACATTTTGAGGCTTACAATGCAATTATCAGTACATCCTCAATGGTTTGACATGTCTTTAGAGAAAGCAAAGTTGGGGAACACATAAGCGGGGGGGAGAGCGCAGAGAGGCAGGGCAGAGCCGGATGGGCTACTTCCACAATTGGCATGGTATTACTACTGATAGACATGTGTGCTGTCCGGAGCTCAGTGAGTTGACCAGGATGGTTCTGAGGGGAGGGAATGGACCTCCATGGCATCTGTGGTGCCGCACTTTGTATTTGTGTCCCTTGGGATACAAATATGAAGCTTCCATCTCTACTAATAACTGAGACAAACTGTCAAAAACAAACAAACAAAAACAGGGCAGTAGAACAGAAAATGACTTCTCTTTTCAGGAAAATAATTGCTCCTTTTATTTCTAAAACGGTATTTCCCTCTACAACAGATGAAATTCATACGCTCTTATTCTCTGGATATCCCATGAAGCAAAGGTGGTTCAATTACTACGAGTGAGGGTTTTGAACAATGACCTTAGTCTTTCTAAATTAAACCCAAAATGGAGGGTGGAGAAACAGGGAAAGTTGAGCTGATGTGCCTGTCAAATTACCAAGCAAGCACAGGCACTCTGGAGGAACTGAGCAGATATACGCAAAGTAGTACACATTCACATTGCTAAAATGGGCATGGTTTTTTTAAAGTGAACTGTTTTCTCTTGAATGGTTGAAGAAATCCAGTAGGACTATAACGAGGAGACAGTGTTCATAGTGGGTAACTTTTCAAGGAAGAAAAGAAGGAAGGAAGACCTGCCAGTAATTTTTGACAAAATAACTTTTGTCTCTTTTGTGCTAAACAAATATTTGACTAAAGTAAACAATCTTCATCGTAAAATGAAAAGTACTTTGAATATTTTCCACGCTAATCTTGATTATTTTCCAAAATACCACAACAGGAACTCCCCATAATAAATAGCATTGTTATTTCCAACTCTAATTGGATAATTTGAATGAAAACAGCAAGGTTTGATGCCAGGAGAGGGCTCATTATATTACACACATACACATACATTCCTATCCCTTCTCCTCTCTCCCCACTGCTTGCTTGCTAGCTTTTGCTTTTCCTCAGAACAAATACTGAATCCAGGTGCAAAAGCTCAATTCACATGGAATGCGGCACACATTAAATTACGGCAGGTTTGGCGGCTAGTAAATCCTTGCTTTTACTTACCATTGGATGTTGTGCTAGAGGCAACAGCTTTCTCACTGACATCTGTTCGAGCAGAGCATTTCACAATAGGATTCTCAACTTTTTTCTTCTCACCCGTAGTAGAGCTATGGGACTGGGCTTCCATGATGTTTTCTCATTACTTCAGCTCTCTTCACACCAATACCTAAATAAAATAACAGAGCCATAAAACTTCAAAAATAAAAAGAAACCAGCAAAAACCTGCCACACTTCTCACCCGAAGAAGATGCTGCTTATCAGCAACAGTAATCTGTTGAAAGCAACTTTAATGTATCCCTTTTACATCCTATCCTTCCTCCAAAATGCTAAGGAGGTGCATGAGGCTAAGGAAGAATGAGAGTATAACGCACCATCACCAAGTTATTTAATATATGTTATTTATGTTAGACATAGGCTTGTGATATTTCCTGCTTTTCATGGCTTAGCACTGAAACTCAAAATGAACTACCATAAATTAACTAACATCTTATTTGTCTGCACCCATGACAAACTATCTAAAGAAAGGAAAATGCTCATTTTAAATTGTGTCATCATGGGTTGGCACAGGAAGTTTATCTGTGCAGTAACGTTCTCAGAAGGCTTCAAAAATGGTTTTGGATTTGCAACTCATAAACCCATGAGTTGCAAACCCAATCTAACCAGTGGTCTTCAGTCTTTTCAAACCAACATTCCACCTTTAATCTGAGTATATACTGTGAAGGAAAGGCAATCTGTAATAATCTTCTGTACAGGCATGTGTTGGCAGCACTGTTTAAAGAGAAGAGACTATCACACTGTACTGAATTCCTGCCCACCAGCAAAAAACAATGATCTTCTAAACCAAATGTATGAGATGGCACATCAGGGATTTCAAGAAATCCAGGTGGCCCAAGCCCAAGCTCTTTTGCTCTTCCACTTCTTTCTAGCTCTTTGTGCTCATTCCAAAGGCTAATTAACAATCAAGGAAGAAACAAATCACTTAAATTTAAGGGGTTGGCTTTCAAGTAATGTGGAAGAAACTCACAGGAACCTTAGTTATGTTGACCCATTCTCCCAAGCTTAAAAAAAAGTGGATCATATTAAGGGATTTGGCAAAAAGACAACTCTTCCTTTCTAGCCACCTCTTCCTAGTTTGGAACTATATAGAAGCAGAAGCTGAACTGATCTTCCATTTGGCTGTAAATCCAAATATTTACACTTTGACATTTACATAAGTCTGGCTAAACCACAGTAACTTATATCTTCAAGGCTGATCACATAAACAATTCATTTTGTTTGTTTTAGCTCTGAAAATGTAGCTCTGAAAAGGATTGCTAGACTACTATACCTGTGAAAAACAAAAACAGGAAGAAGGCTGGGAGTGATCATTACTAAACTGATAAAAAGAATTATCTAAACTACCTTAAAATGAAAATCCCTATAGAGCAGATATTGCTACTATCCGGTCCTTCACCATCTAATTTTAGAATTGTTTCCTACTGCTCATCATTCATCCATTTTATATTCCTTGGACTGCTTTTCTTTCTTTCTTTCTAAATTTCCGGCATCCACACAATAAAAACAGGTTTTGAAAAAAAAATTAAAATCTCTCCATCTCTCCAGAAATGTTCCCTCTAAGGTGCACACACATTTCCTCCTCCTCTGCGCAGTGATAGTTTTCAGCCCCTTTTGTTCGGTCATGATGGAATACCATGCATGGGGAGGGTGCTGAGTCATGTGCACACACAGGGGTGAAGTTGCACGAGAAAGAGCTGGAGCAATTAGAAGGTACGTTGATCCCCAGCTGTGCAGTGATGGGTAGATGTGAATGAATGAGTGTGAACTAGCACGAAAGAGAAACACAAGTTTCTCTCTCTATTGCTGATCTGTAACTAAACATACAAAGATCTGTTAAAAAACAACCTTTTTTGCACGTACTCATTGGCATCTTTTAATCTTGGAACCAATATAATACAGGAATGAATTACACTGTTGCTCAAAGCATTTTGGCACAAGAAATACTCCAAAATGACAGCTCAGTAATCCTAGACCACTACTTCCACCATGGCAAATAGTGCTTTAAAAAACTGCCAACAAACAGCAGTAATGAAAGAACTCCCTCTTATTAGTTTACACTCATTCACGTACATACACGCACATATATACAGAAATACCCCAATCAATTCTTCAAAAAAACTCCAGTTTATGAGTGTGGGATATTGTGCTTCGGTACCCACATTTCAAAATGCCAGGAAATGTCCCAATATTGCTGCACAATATCATGCTCTTGTTACCAGCATGAAAGAGAATGTCAGGTTTTACATAGCAAAGGGTAGCCTACACCAAAGGTGGCAGTCAAGATCGGCTACAGCGTGGTCCCCAACCTTGGGCCTCCAGAGGTTCTTGGATTTCAACTTCCAGAAATCCTGGCCAGCATGGTGGTGGTGAAGGCTTCTGGGAGTTGTAGTTCAAAAACCTCTGGAGGCCCAAGGTTGGAGACCACTGGCTAGAGGGTACCCTCTTCTGCTTACTACCATTCACAAAGTGACACCACACAAGGGAAAATCCCAGAAGCTGACTCCTTTTTTTTGTCAGTTAACTACTTGTTACCCAAATTCAGAGCTGTTTTTTGACAAGTGTAAAAGGTGGTGAAAACAAGAGTACCCTCCTGTGGACAATCTTGACTGCTGCTATTTTCTCCAGCCGTATTGCTTCCTCAGAATGTCATCCAGCAGAGCTGTTTCGGGTGGTCCGGGATCTTCTTCAACCGGGAAACCCAGTGGAGCTCCCGGACTGCTCATCAGCTCGCTGTGATGAGTTTGCTATTCATTTTGAGGAAAAAATCGCTCAGATTCGCAGTGGGCTGGACTCCACTGTTACTGCAAAATCGGAAGATGTGTCCAGTGTGCCGTGCTTAGGTCAAACTTTAATGGATGAGTTTCAATTGTTGAGACCCGAGGATGTGGACAGGGTGCTTGGATCTGTCCGTTCTACCACCACGCCGCTCGACCCTTGCCCATCTTGGCTAATTGGAAGATCTGCCAGGGGGGTTCGCACTTGGGTCCAGGAGGCCGTGAACGCCTCTCTGAGAGAGGGAGTGGTCCCTACCGCCTTGAAAGAGGCAGTAATTCGACCACTCCTTAAAAAGCCTAACCTGGACCCAAGGCTGGTGGTCAACTACCGACCAGTGGCGAACCTCCCTTATTTGGGCAAGGTGTTGGAGCGGGTTGTGGCCGGGCAACTCCAGGCGCTGCTGGATGAAACGGATTTTCTGGATCCATTTCAATCGGGTTTCAGGCCGGGTTTTGGTACAGAGACAGCCTTGGTCGCCCTGTATGATGACCTTTGCCGGGAGAGAGACAGGGGGAGTGTGACCCTGTTGATACTCCTGGACCTCTCAGCGGCTTTCGACACCATCGACCATGGTGTCCTTCTGGATAGGCTGGCTGGGTTAGGAGTTGGGGGCACTGTTTTACGGTGGTTCCGCTCCTTCCTAGCTGACCGTATCCAGAGGGTGGTGCTGGGGGACAGTTGCTCTGCCCCATGGCATTTATGTCATGGGGTTCCTCAGGGCTCGATACTGTCCCCCATGCTGTTTAACATCTACATGAAACCGCTGGGAGAGGTCATCAGGAGGTTTGGGCTGAGGAGTCAGCAATATGCTGACGACACTCAGCTCTACCTCTCGTTTTCCACCAATCCAGGTGAGGCGGTTTCTGTGCTGAACTCGTGTCTGGACCTGATAATGGACTGGATGAGGGTTAATAAATTGAAACTCAATCCAGACAAGACGGAAGTGCTGTTAGTGGGTGCTTCGCCGGACAGGTTGGAGGGCCACTTCCCTGTCCTGAATGGGGTTACACTCCCCCTAAGGGACAGGGTCCGCAGCTTGGGGGTGCTCCTGGACCCCAGTCTAACACTGGAAGCCCAGGTGGACTCGGTGGCCAGGGGCGCCTTCCTCCAGCTGCGGAAACTATACCAGCTACGGCCCTACCTGGACGAGCGGAGTCTCATGACAGTTACACACACACTGGTAACATCT